TTTACGCACATTCACATTACCCAAAATAACTACCTGCCCAAGTCAAAGGGCAAAGAAAAACAGCCAAGTGGACCAACATCGCCGCAAAAACAAAAAACATAGTAACTCCAACATTGGGCGAAACGTGCCAATATAAAAAGGATATGTCCTAAGAATGAACCAAGATCGCTGAAGATTGGCACAAACATGCCCCAAATTTGGCCGCCCATTGGGGCAAGCCTTCGTAAGCAACACTTGGCGGACCTCCTTTTTTCATGGTTTTTACATGCTTTTACGGTGTTCTACGCACACTACGCAAAAGACCACCTGCCCAAGTCAAACGGCAAAGAAAAGGCAGCCAAGTGGACCAAAAAGGCCGCAAAACAAGTAACATAACAGCAGCAAAGCCTTCAACATAGCTCTGATCTAGACCCCACGGCCCCAATTGCTTCCAACATACCTCCACGAGAAGCCTCAAGAGAGCCCCAGCATTGGGTGAAACGTGCCAATATGGAAAAGGATATGCCCCAGGAACGCACCAAGATCGCCGAAGATTGGCACAAACATGCCCTAAATTTGACCACCCACTGGAGCAAGCTTTCATACGCAAACAAAAGCCAAAAAAACAAAACAAAAACACCTTTCTTACACTTGTCGGACCTAATTCTATTTTTTCATGTTGTTTTTAACGCTTTTACAATGTTTTTTGATGCTTTATGCACATTGCCCTTCAAAGCCTGCGAATGCCGGAAAACAAGAAACACCTCAAAAGTTGCCTCCCGTGCAGGTAAAGTGCAACTTGTTAAGGCAAATAAGCTCCAACACAAGCCCACCCAAAGCCACTCTTTACAGTAAATTATCGTGTTTTCTGCACCTTCAAACATAGAAAAAAAGGCCACGGTCTGCAAACCAGTGCGGCAAGCAGAAAGCGAGATGCGAGCGGTCGCGGTCGATTTTCGTGTTGTTGGCTTCGTATTTGTTGGCTTTCCTGGTTGGTTTTCCTATGTGCATTCCATGCCTTTCAAGTTGGCTTGGCTTGATGCCTTTTAAGTTGGCTTGCCTTGTTTTCGCCTCTTCTCAAGTAGGTTAGCCTTGATCCAGTGCGTTGTCTGCCCAAAAGCGTGGTTTCATACTTTTGGGGTTGCCGTGTCAATTTTCCCAGGTGCTTTCCATTCTTTTCAAAAGGGTTTGCCTTGGTTGTGTCCATTCTGTGCTCTTTGTGTCTTCTTTGTGGGCCTTGGTGTCAAAAAATTCTCATCTTAAGCTGATTTGCTT